TTCAACTTGTTCAACCACCAAATGATGTTCCCGAGACAACCACGCTTTCAGCACCTCCAACCGACCCTGATGGTAACACAAGTCACGAAGGTATCACTGAGCACGCACAGCGCCCCAAGCGAGCACGCAAACCAGTGCAGCGCCTGAACCTCACAGTCGGTGCATGCTTCCCAGTCACAGCCAGGTGCACCAACCCTCACTGTATGGACTGCAAGGTAGCCGCCATGTGTCACGCCATCAATTGCCTCCCTTCTGAGCCATCCACTTGCGAGCAAGCACTGGCAAGCGCTGAGAGAGCAGAGTGGTTAAAGGCAGAGAGAGAAGAGATTAACAGCCTCCTCGCACAAGGTACATGGGTCCTTGCACCACTCCCTTCTGGTAAGAGAGCACTGAAGGTTAAGTGGACATACCGAGTGAAAGTGAAGGGAGATGGTACACTTGACCGATTCAAGGCACGCCTGGTAGCCAAAGGTTTCTCACAGATGCCAGGCACGGACTACACAGAGACCTTCTCTGCTGTAGCCAAGTACACCACTGTCAGGTGCCTCTTGGTAATGGCCACAGTGAAGGATCTCCACATCCATCAAATGGATGTGAAGAATGCCTTTCTCTATGGTAAGCTCGACGAAGAGATCTACATGGTACAGCCCGAGGGTTACACTGATGGTACCACCAAGGTCTGCAAGCTGCTGAAGTCCCTCTATGGACTAAAGCAAGCACCACGAGTCTGGTTCCACACCCTTGAGGTATCACTCCTTACCCAAGGTTTCACCAAGTCACAGTTCGATGCTGCACTGTACGTCCTACGCACAAGTGATGGGGAGTCCTTGTGGCTCCTAGTCTATGTGGATGACATCCTCCTCGTGTCAGCATCCCTGAGTCTCCTCAAGCGCATCAAAGGTATGCTCACCCAGGACTTCATCATGAAGGACATGGGTGAGCCCTCACACTACCTTGGTATGAACATCGTGAGGGACCGCACCACCAAGTCACTTTTCATCTCACAGCAGAGGTACACTGAGAAGGTCCTCTCAAGGTTTGGTCTCCTTGACTGCAACCCAGTTGAGACCCCACTCCCCTCAGACTTCACGCTGAGCTCACACGAGCAAAGCATTGATCCCTCCACAGTTGAGTCAGAGGTCACTGAGCTTGAGGGTGAGGTCGAGAGCCTTGAGCCTCCTGAGGACTTTGGTCATGACACCTATGCACCACATTCCACATCCCTCATCACTCCCCTTGAGCTCTCACTCTACCAGAGCCAAGTGGGCAGCCTTATGTACGCCTCAATTTGCACCCGTCCCGATCTCGCCCATGCCGTTGCCATGCTCTCTCAATGCATGACATCACCCACTCGCATGCATCAGCGCGGAGCACTTCGTGCTCTGCGCTATCTCAAATCAACCTCTTCCTTTGGTCTCCTCTTTCAAGGGTTTGAGGATGCGAGCATGCTGTATGGCTTCACGGATGCAAATTGGGCTGGGGATATCACCACCCGCAGGTCCACTGGAGGATACATCTTCATGCTTGTAGGAGCGGCCATCTCTTGGCAGTCAAAGAAGCAGAGCTGCGTGGCTTTATCATCCACGGAGGCAGAGTACACGGCTACGACCCAAGGAGCCCGCGAAGCAGTGTGGATAAGGGGTCTTCTGAAGGAGCTTGACCTCCCACAAGAGAGCCCCACTCCAATCTTCATCGACAACACGTCGACGATCGCTCTCTCCAAGAACCCCGTCTTCCATGGAAGGACCAAGCACATCGCGACGCAGTACCACTGCGTTTGAGAGCATGTTCGTTGAGCCCCTGTTTTGCCGCACGAGTGAGCAAGCGGCGGATTTCCTCACCAAGGTCGTTGCACGCGACATCTTCATCAACAACCGTGTTCAGGCCGGGTTAGTCTCAGCTGCTAGATTTGAGGCTACGGGCTTGCAGTGAGGGGGAGTGTTGTGAATGGCACGCTCGTCACGTGCCACCCCAATCTACCACTCCAACCCCTCCGCCTCAAACCACTCTCGTAACTTTCCTCCCTTCCTTCCTAAAGTTACACAAACTCCTCCAAAGCCCATTCCAACCACTCAAGTTACACACTTCCTTTTCCAACTCATCCTCTCCAACTCAAGCCTATCAACCACCTCCTTAATTACTCCCAACTACCATAGCCTTTCCTAATCCAACTCAACCAAGCTTTCAACCAAAATTCCTATTCACCTTCAAGCCCCACCATAAGGCACATGACCCCTCATGATTTTCCATGTGCTTTCCCTTCCTACTCATCAAGGATTACCCAAGTCATCTACTTCCTCCGATTATCCATCTCCCATGTGCCTTCAAGCACATGCCTCCATTTCCTAGTCATCAACTCCCACATGCCTCTCATTTATTCCTTCCTTCCTTCTTTCCCAAGTCACCAAAGTTGCCACCTCATCCCCAAGGACCTTATGATTACTACCTCACCTTTCCTACCAAGTCACCAAAGCTATCCTATCTCCTCCACTCATCCCTTCACAAGTCACCAAGTCTTCTTCCAACACCACGTTTCTCATTATAGTCACATGTTCTAAGTATCATCTTCTCTTCTATCAAGCTCATCTACATATGCTACAGTTCCACTGTTCACTCTTGTCTTATTCTAGTGTGCAATCATTCTCTTTTGTCTTTATCTCAATTCTCTACACTAGGTACCTCCACGTAGTTCTTGTAGGAGTTTGCCTATATCCGTTTGAAGGTGTCTCAATCGGCGATAAAACACCCAACTCCGTCGTAGAAATTGTGTAACGCAGCTTGATGCTGTATTTAATCGAGAAGCTTCGCGTTTGGCGAATATCGATACAGCACAACTTGCTTCTCGCACGCCTCGCCTCACTTTCGCAAAGAATCTGATTCATCGGAAAAAGCAATGCTAGCGGGTTACAAAACCTCGTCAACATCATCCGTCTTTCTGAAACATTCACTCGAAGATCAGAATTGTTCAGCTTTCTTGTTTAGTGTGAAACTAGTAGTAGTTACGTTGAGCTCCTTTGGTGGCGTAAGCTGTGAATGTTGCGGTCTCTCAGAAGTCCAGCCATTCCCAAGCCGTTCAGACATGGAATTGCGAGCAGCTTCAAGGCACTCTTTTCATTGTGCAACAGCGCGCCGGCCGAAACTGGCTGTGTGACTAGCTAGAGTTGCTAAAAACACGCTACGATCTAGTAATGACGAGCGCGAATGCCTAAAGTTGAGTCGATACATTACAAAATACATATCTACCATTGCAGGCGGATTGGGTGCTTAATGAGAGTTCAATCGCCATGACATCAGTGCATACTGCTGAGTCCACGACGGAGGAGCGCGAGCAACGGCAGGGGAAGAGAACGAAAAACAAAGCTGGCCCTGAAGGCAAGAAATATTATTCTTCTCGACGCAGACCGCTATTCCTACCTCATTTCTTTCACACTAAGCACCTGGACTTCTCCTCCTGCTCATACAAACCTCCTGGACATTTCTTTTCGATCTGTACACACAGTGCAAGTGCTGTGACTCTGTAGCTTCCGCTCTCACTCTAAGTTTGTTCCGGTTGCTATCCCATCCTGGCATTTCTACTTTACGCTGCGCCGCTTTATGCATCGCTTCCTCTCTCTCATCTCTGTCTCTCATTCCGAAAAGAGCGTTTGGAGAATCAAGGGTGTGCGATAGATAATCCCGCACCTCCATCTGCCTAATTGTCAAAATTGTTCGTACCATCAAGCCTCATAAGGGAATCTCATACGAAAATTTCATGAGGGAATCTTTCTTTCGTTCGACTTGATGAGGTTTCTGAACACTCTGAGAAGTGCTCCAAACAGAGGTCCCCGAGCACTACGCTAAAACAACTCGTCTCTGAAATACCTGGAATTACCCAATAATAAACGTGCTCTCACCCTTTTTAAGCACCACCGCGGAGAAAGCGAGGGTGTGTGCTCTCACCACCAAGCTCCTTCCCGGGGTCAACTTCGCTGGCAGCCGCAGCTCCTCGGCCCACACGCGAGTAGAGCTGAATGTGGAGGTTGCACTCTCTGTGTGTCACGAGCTTTGAGTCGCCTAAAAATTACTCTTTGCGTCCCGCAGCTCCTTAGCCCACACGCGAGTGGAGCTGCATGTGGAGGTTACACTCTCTGTGTGTTTTGAGCACAGCACAGCAAGGAGCAGGATGAAACGAGTTACTCATATGATTCCGCCGTCCTCCTATCTTTCTTCCTTTTTATCATCTTCTCTCCATTTCCCCTCATCCCTCCGCCCATCCCTCATCTTCCCCTCTCATCCATTTCATCCTCCAGTCGCCACCCACCGGTGTGATCCCTTGAACACACTGCCAGTGTCTCACATTCCTCCTCCACTCCCACCAGCAATCCTCTTATCACACAATTCCACCCATCCTCACCCATTCCACCCAGCTCTCCCATCTTAACCATTCCACCGGTCTCACCCATCTCAGCCATATCACTCCTTGCCACCCCCCCCGTGATCCCACAGGTGTGCTTCCGGCATCTGACTTTTCCCCTTTCACAGCCCCCATTAATCCCCATCCCACCCGTTTCTCCCATCTCTCCCCCTTCCAGCCGTCACCCCCCGTGATCCCATCGACCTGCTACCGGCATCTCTCTGGCACCGGGTGTTCCGCTGCCTGCTGCTGCCACCCGGCTCCTCCCACCCCGACACCCCCCTCGTGCGGGGTGGACAAAAGTCTCCCTGGTGTCTCACCGCCACCATGCAGCTCCCATCAATCCCCATCCCACCCGTTTCTCCCATCTCTCCCCCTTCCACCCGCAGTCCCCCGTGATCCCATCGACATGCTACCGGCGTCTCTTTGGCACCGGATGTTCCGCTGCCTGCTGCTGCCACCCGGCTCCTCCCACCCCGACACCCCCCTCGTGCGCGGGGCAGGAGAAAGACACCATGGTGTCTCACCACCACCATGCAGCCTTTGAGTTGACTCAACAGTCGGCTCCTCCCACCCCGACACCCCCCTCGCACGGGGCAGACAAAAGATGCCCTGGTATCTCACTGTTACTATAGACGTGTACCAGCATCTAACCTTCCCCTTTCACTCCCCCCACCAATCCCCTTCCCCCCCATCCCACCCGTCCCACCCATCCTCACCCATCCCTCCTTCCAGCCGCCATCCCCCGCAATCCCTTAGACGTGCTACCGGCGTCTCTCTGGCACCAGGTGTTCCGCTGCCTGCTGCTGCCGCCTTGCTCCTCCCACCCCGACAGTCCTCTCGTTCTGTCTTCTCATATTCCCCCTTCACCCCTCCATCAATCCCTTTCTCTTCTCACCCCTCTCTCCTTCCAGCCGCCACCCTTCGTAATCCCATCGACCTGCTACCGGCATCTCTCTGGCACCGGGTGTTCCGCTGCCTGCTGCTGCCACCCGGCTCCTCCCACCCCGACACCCCCCTTGTGCGCGGCAGGCGCAAGACGCCCTGGTGCCTCACCGCCACCATGCAGCCCCCAGCGGGCAGAAACCTGCCCGTGAAATTTGTGGACCCTGACTTTTCAGCAGTCGGGCAGCACCAGAAGAATGTGAAAACCTATGGCAGTGGATGGGCGCTGCTATGCTGCTCCCTGGTCAGCAAGAGGTTCCGCAACCTCGTCCTCTCCTTCTCCGTGAGTGCCGTTCTCTGTTGCACTTGGCATTTGATGTGCTTCTTTTGATGTGCTTCTTTTGATGTGCTTCCCAACATCCCTTGTTGTGAGTGCTGTGCTCGTGGCATTGCAGCAACTGCCACATCTCCCAGTCACCTAGCTTTCATATTCTCTCCTGCATTCTCTCATCCCGTTCCGCAGGCCCACCACCCCAACCCTCTGGTCTACAGCGACCTGCACTTGAAGTGCAGCTGGCTCAGAGATGCTGCAGGGTATTTCTAAGAATTCTTAAGATGCTGCAGGGTATTTTTAAGAATTCTTAAGATAATGCAGGGTATTTTTGAGAATTCTCAAGATGCTGCAGGGTATCTTTGAGAATTCTCAAGATGCTACAGGGTATTTTTGAGAATTATCAAGATGCTACAGGGTATTTTTGAGAATTCTCAAGATGCTGCAGGGTATTCTTGAGAATTCTCAAGATGCTGCAGGGTACTCTTGAAAATTCTCAAAAACACCCTGCGCTCTCTGGTCTACAGCGACCTGCACTTGCAGTGCAGTGGGCTCAGAGCGTCACGCTCTTTGCATCATGTTTCAAATCTGAAATCCCTGAATTTCTTCGGTTTCCTGAATTTCTTCGGTTTCAATGTTTATAAACGTAACGTCCTTAAATGTCCTTCCGGTGCCTCCATTCCTTCTCCCATCCATCTCCGCAGGCCCACCACCCCATCTCTCTGGTCTGCAACAACCCCCACCCGCTGTGGGTGGGAGGGGAGCGTCGCCTTCCTCCAACCTGGACTTCTTAACGTCTCCCTTCCCATCCCATGCCCACCCATCCCTCTCCTCTCCGCAGGCCCACCACCCCATCGCCTTGGTTTACACCAACCTGTACCTGCAGTGGGAGAGGAGCGTCGCCTTCTTTATATCGCGCTTCACATCTGGATTTTAATGACTTTCAGGCGCCTTCTTTAAACCCTAAAACCCTTCTCCCATCCCCCTCTGCAGGCCCAGCACCCCATCCCCTTGGTCTACAACAACCTCCACCCGCAGTGGGAGAGGAGCATTGCCTTCTTCCTGCGCCACCGCGGCCTCAGGTCCCTCCACCTCACCTTCACGCACGTGCTGCAGCTCGATACCATCGTGTCCCAGGACCAGTGGGCCTTCTCCTTCGCCTCTCTCACCTCCCTCACCCCGCTTCACATCAGGATTCAAACAACCTTTAGGTGCCTCCCTCCTTCCTCCACTCCTTCCCCCATCCCTCCCCTCTCCGCAGGCCCAGCACCCCATTCCCTTGGTCTACAACAACCTCCACCCGCAGTGGGAGAGGAGCATCGCCTTCTTCCTGCGCCACCGCAGCCTCAGGTCCCTCGACCTCACCTTCACAGATGTCATGCAGCTCGACACCATCGTGTCCCAGGACGAGTGGGCCTTCGCCTCCCTCACCTCGCTCACCCTCAAGCTACGTGGCTGTCCGGACTACTCTCAGCTCTTTGACAGGGAGCTGGGCAAGGCGGATGGGTGGGCGGGGAGGCTCAAGGTGCTGCGCAGCTTGACTCTCAAGCACGTGGACTGTAGTCACGTGGATTTCAAATATCTCGCCACGATCACTCCACAGCTCACGGAATTCACGCTCTATGAGAGCTGGGATTTGGATAACCCGTCCGTCGGCCCCCGTGGCGGCGGCAGCAGCAGCCAATTCTGTTTCGATCTCTCATCGGCTCGCGTCCTCCAGTTCTACTTCGCGCAGAGCAGCCTCACGCTCTTCCTCACCCTCTCCCGCTCGCTCAAGGCCTTCTCAGCCGTGGCCAAGCGCCTCGTCCTCTCCTGGAGGAGCGCCGCTCCTCTCTATCTCGACCACCTCTCACTCTACGGCCAGGAGCGCCTCGTCATCTCCTCCCTCCGCCTCGCATCCGCCCGAGTGGCCTACCTCAACGGCCCTCCTAGAGACCGACACTCCCGCGATGATGCCTACTCCTCTCAAAATACAGATTCTTCCTCTTGGGCCACCCCTGCTCCGCCCCCTGACTGGCTGAGCTCGCACCGGCGCAGGTCGCCTGAATTCTCCTGGGTCGAGTGGCTGGGTGCTATAGCGCCAACAGTGGAGGTGCTTATAGTGAGGCATGGGGTGGCTGTAGAGAAGGTGGGTGTGGAGTGGAGCTGCCTGCGCAGCCTTGGGATTGTCGTGGAGAGTGAGGAGCGGTTTGAGAGAGATATGGATTTTGAGCGGCGGCGGGATGAGGGGGAGGAGGAGGTTACAGTGGAAGAGTTTCAGGAGCGCAACCAGTGGCAGAGGCGGTTGCAGCAGCACCGACGGCAGCAGCAGCAGCAGTGGCAGCAGGAGGAGCAAGAGGAGGAAGAGGAAGAGGAAGCGGAGCAAGCAGGGAAGCCCCCTCTCATCAAGGCTCCGAACCTGAAAACAATCTTCTTTCCCACCCGCACCTGCGAGCAACAAACTCTTGTTGCCCTACGTGAATCGTGTCCCTCCCTCGCCCTTTACTGCATTGCCAGTCTCTCTTTCTATTGGGAGAAGCATGGGAAAGAGTTGGCTGAAACTGAGACCCTGTGGTGCATGTGAGGAAGGGGAGGAGCGGCGTGTCGAGCAACTTCTTTGGGGAGAGGCAAGCGAAGAATGTGAGAGAGAAGATGCATAGTGTGAATAGGGGGCTGGTGGAAGGGTACAGTGTTGATAAAGATGAGGCTTATATGTTGAAGTAAAAAGGCAGCCTTTGGGAGACTTATCGCTCTTACTACCTTTAGCATTCATTTATTGGTGTGGACAAGGTCTGGGTCGACTCAGAACTCGCTGATTCAGATGCGGCTTACATGCTGAAGTACCAAGGGAGCGTCTGGAGGACATACAGTACCGTATTCCAGCCTCTAGCATCCGCTACGGTAATTTGTGACACGCCATCTCAAGTAATATTAATATGGGATAGTGAGTGGGTGTGGGATCACAACTATCCTACCATATGTCCGCCTTCTCTGGCAATTGTCAGAATGTTATTATCTAGCCTGTAGTGGGGTGCTCTATAGCGGGTACAAGTTACAACACAGTTAGGGTTTGCTATATGTATTCCAACTGTAGCTAGTGAAATCTCCTCCTTTGCTCATTTCTCTCTTGCCTAGCTAGGGTTTACCTAGCTATGGCTCCTCGTTCTGCCTACTATCTTGACATGGTATCAGAGCGGTTACGCTCCTGGCCTGTGGGCCCGCCTGCTTCCGCTGCCTTCCTGTGTGTCGCGCGTCCCGTGGCGCGCGATGTTCGTTTTTTCTTCCCGCCGCGCGCTCGGGGCGCGCGGCGGTTTTCTGCCCGCCGTGGCCCCGAGGCGCGCGGCGGTTTCCTCCCTCGTGCGTCACCCCGGGGACCCGCGCTTCCCCCCCTCCCGTCGACCGCCCCGTCGCCCGTCGAAGCGCCCCCCGTCGCCCGTCGAAGCGCCCCCCGTCGCCCGTCACGGAGCCCGCGGACCCGCGCGTCGCCCCCCGTCGCCCGACGCGGCCCGCGCGACCTGCGCCAGGCTCGCGCGCGGCCTGTACGGGCTGCGACAACGGGCCGCGCCAGGCCCGCGCGCGGCCTGGGCAGCCTACCCCAGGGCCGCGCGCCGTCCCCCGCGCTCCTGCCCCGTGCCACCCGTTTTAGGGTTTGGGGGTGGCGAGTGTGGGGGTGGCGGTTATGGGGGTGCAAGAGTGTGTGCCGTCCCCTGCTCCTCCTCCTCCTCCGTCTCCCACTGCTGCAGCTGCCGCTGAGGGGGGTGGGTGTGTGGGGAGCCGAAGGAGTGGTGCTAGGGGGGTGACGTGGGAGTGGAGTTAGGGGTTCAGCAGGGGGTGTGTGTCAAGGGTGTGGGTCAGTTGGAGGAGGTTGTGTGGAGGTAGCTGTCGTGTCGCCTGCAGCGCCTGTAGTCCGTCGCCCTTGCTTCGGTAGCCAGTGAGCCTGTTGCACCAGTTGCCAGTGGGTCCGTTGCTCCTGCCGCTCGTCTTAGCCGCGGAGCCAGTCACTCCAGTAGTCCGTCGCCCTTGCTTCGGTAGCCACTGAGTCAGCCGCTCCTGTGCCCGTGCCTCTGCAGCTTCAGTCGTTGCCTCCCATCTTCTCTCCTTCCACAGTTCCTCCTCCTCACTTGCCCGCTGTGATTACCTCTAGCTTTGCTTATTATTGTGAACTCCTGCTTTGCTTATTATTGTGATTACCTCTAGCTTTGCTTATTGTGCTGATTACACCCCACTTTGGCTATGGGGGTGTGTCAGAATGTTATTATCTAGCCTGTAGTGGGGTGCTCTATAGCGGGTACAAGCTACAACCCAGTTAGGGTTTGTTATATGTATTCCAACTGCAGCTAGTGAAATCTCCTCCTTTGCTCATTTCTCTCTTGCCTAGCTAGGGTTTACCTAGCTATGGCTCCTCGTTCTGCCTACTATCTTAACAGCAATGACTATGTGTTCATGCCCCAACCAACCTCCCCCTCTCCCATCCCTCCATCCATGGAAAGAGAAACAAAACATCAGTACAAGTCACAAATACATGCATAAATACAAAACATGAGAACAAAACAGCAATTTATATGGCAACTACCAGCCCTCATTAACTCCTCTTCTTCACTGTGCCCAGCTGGGTGTGCAGCCGCCTTGTGCCCTGGCAGCCGCAGACAACAAACAGCAAGCACCCCATCAAGCATCCCATGATGGCAACCATAGGCACTCTGCATGCACCACACAGGTGCACACCACACAGGTGCACACCACACAGGTGCACACCATCCTATGGTCACACCATCCTATGGTCACACCATCCTATGGTCACACCACGCGATGGTCTCACCATTACTCTGAACCTAAACCCGGAAACCTAAAGCCTAAGCGCTTGATCAGCGCCACTGCTGAACAATGCCAGAGAAGGGAGCTGCCTGCGCAGAGCAACCCGAAGACGTGCAGGTTCACACTCGTACTCTTTGGCATGATAAAAGAAAGACTTCAGGTTCGGAGCGCTGATGAACAGGCTGCTGCTGCTGCTGCTGCTGCTGTTGCCTCCTCTGCTGCTCTCTTCTTCCCCACCAAAGCACCTCCAGAAATTGGAATCTTCCGGATCCTCGGGCTTAGCTTTGTAACCAACCCCCCCGGTGCTGTAACGATTCATACCAACGGCGAGGCGGCGCAGGCGGCTCCACTCCACACGCACGCCCTGCAGAGGCCAGTCGTTTCTCACTATAAGCGACTCCACTGTAGGTGCTATGCTGCTGAGCAGGTGGGTCACGGTGCGCTGAGATTCGAGATCGGAACAGGGAAACGCACGCCAGCGATATTCTCGAATGGTCGGCCCGTTCACGTAGACGGATTTTGCGGAGGCCAATGGGAGCGAAGTCACGAGAAGCTGCGAGCGGCCAATGAGAGAGAGCGAGTCGAGAGAGAGGCGGCTGCCGCATGTGCAATCCACGTTGAGAAACGCTGCAGTGGCCGAGAAGGACTTTAAAGAGGGAGCCATGGTGAGGCGGAGGTGGAGCGCTTGCTTCTCGAAGCAGACCGTGATAGCTCGAGCAGCGGGGAACTTGAAATCGAGGGTGGTAGAGCCAGATCCATGGCTGGAGCAGGCGAGAGCGAGTTCATGCAGCTGCGGTGCGATGGATGAAAGAAAGGTCAGAGAATTCCCGTCGCAATCGAAATCGTGGATGCTCAGGCTCCTTAAAGCCTTGAAGTTTCCTGGATCCAGGTTGCCTAGTTGCCACGTCCCACGACCTAACTTCAGCCGCTGCAGCTGCTGAAACTCCTCTAAAAAGGCCGGATTCATCAGGTGCCTCTCCTTGATGATAGGCTCGATTCCCCCGGGAGGTTCCTTGATCCCAAGGCCCAGGCTTGTGAGGGAGCGTGCAGAGGGCTGCAAGAGACGGGCGATGATGTCCAGATCTTGGGTGCTGTTGAGAACGAGATCAAGGGACGTGTGAGCGGCGTGCCTGAGGAAGAAGGAGACCATTCCTGTGTTGAAAACGAGCGTCATGGGCTCGAGCTCCTGCTCACACACAGCCATGGGCACAGCCATGGGCACAGCAATGGGCACAGCGATGGTCACAGCGATGGGCACAGCGATGGTCACAGCGATGGTCACAGCGATGGTCACAGCGATGGGCAGATAGATGGTAGAGAACCTTAACCATGACCCTACAGCCCATGATCATTATGATAGCAGATTGCACGGGCCAGATATCAAGAGTTTACCGTTCCGTGATATGAGTTGTGTCAGAGAAGGTTGTACGATGGAATGAGGAAAGCAGCGCATGATGACTCACGGAGAAGGAGACGACATGGTGTTGGGGGAAGGGCGAAAGGGGAAGGGGGAAGGGGGAAGGGGGAAGGGCGAAAGGGGAAGGGGGAAGGGGGAAGGGGGAAGGGCGAAAGGGGAAGGGGGAAGGGGGAAGGGGGAAGGGGGAAGGGGGAAGGGGGAAGGGGGAAGGGGAGAGGGGGAGGGGGGAATGTGGAAGGGCAAAAGGGGAAGGGCGAAGAGGGAAGGGGGAAGAGGCGAATTATGACTCACAGCGAAGGTGGCGACATGGTGGAGGAGCCTCTTGCTGGCCATGGCGTAGTACAGCAGAGGCCACGACGGGCCGAAGCTCCGCAATGCCTCCGCATGCTGCTCCGTGCTGGCAGGAAACGGAAGAATTTTGGCGTTCGAGGTGCTGCGTGCTCCCTGCTGCGATGCACCCGAGGTGTCACCCCGATTCTCCGGAGAATGATGTGCCAGCAGGTGGCGGAAGATGATGTGCCAGATGGGGCCGGGCAGCAGATCAACCACGTCCAAGATCTGGCGGGTCGCGAACTATTTTCCAGATATCAGAAAGAGAGAGAGATATAGAGCGAGAATAAGATTAATTCTTTGTCTTTTCCTTAGGAGGGTGTGGTAAGAATCGAAGGAATCGGCTAGGAATGGTGTGATTATTCACTGACTGTGGCAGCACTCTCACCTCATGATGATTCTCGGCATCAGCGGGTGCTGTAAGACTGAGAGCTACCTTATCTCCACGGCTAGCCATCAGAGACAACGATCATTTACGCACTGAGTAGACAAATGCTGCGTTCGAAAAAGGTAAACCTTCTGAGCAAGAAACGGTGTTTGAAACAGCTCTGAGCAAGAAACGGTGTTTGAAACAGCTCTGAGCAAGAAACTGTTTGTTACGAATCCATCATGTGACTCAAGCAAGCACAACTCAACTCGATTCGGATTCTAGCTGCTTTCAGGCTAGTGACCGTAGATAGTGGCGGTGAACAACATTCGGAGTTATGTTGCTTTCCTTCTGGTGGATAAGTTCATAACAAAATCTGTTGCTGACTGCCTTGCTCGGGTTACTTCCTTCCCCCTCTTATCACGCAATCACGAAGCACTCCCTTCCCCCTCCGGACACCTCCTGTGGCCCGCGCTCTAACACTTGCTGCGCCGCTCTAACACTTGCTGCGCCGCTCTAACACTTGGCCCTAACATTTCGGACCCACAATTTTTGAGACGGCCTGCGGTGCATCGCCAATCGCCTGACATAAGGGCGCGTAACCATTTTGCTCCTGACGGTTCGTTTTCGGACGGTCCGTTCTGTACGGTCTCTGATTGGCTGACACTGCCCTCGCAACGAGCCGTAACACTGTAATGTAGTTCGTGAGGGCAGTGACGACCAATCACACAGCGTTTACAACGGACTGTCCGTCTAACGAACCGTCAGGACAAAATGGTTACGCGCCCTAAGAACGCAATTCGGACTTCCTACCAAGTAGTGACTTTCTAACAAGTTTGGTCGTCGTTGAGCAACGTTGGAGTGAGCAGCTCTGTGATTGGAGAGTCACAGTCGCAGAACAGTCGCAAGGCACTCGCTTGTTAGGAAGTTGCTTGTTTGGAAGTGCCTGAAATACGACCTAATTCGCCAATCAGCCACTTCCTTCGGGAATCAGTCGTTGCGCTTCCAGAGCAAGGGAGGGCCAAATCTCTATCAGTCGCAGAGTGTCGCCTCGCCTTGCCCCACAAGTTCACAACACAGAAGGGGTTCGCAATGGCAATGGTTCGCTACAAATGTCGAACGAATGCTGTTGAACACTCGGAGCCTGTCAGGCAGGTCGAACGCTTGTGGTGGCCACGCAAGACTTGATCGAGTGGCTCACAACTGTTCGGACCCAGGAGTGGAAGAGGTTTGGATTACGAAAATCTTCTTTGTTGCAAAGGCCAATCAGAAGGATGTAACTCCCCAGGAGTTTGGGAATGGCAACAAATCATCGAGCGAGCCTAACGACACCCGATATATCGTACACGTGGCCAAATGGCAGCTGGCGAATCTTGTGCCTGGCTATGCCTTGCGAAATTGGAGATTCCTTCCAAGGTATCAGTCAAGTCAGTTTTCGCTTGTCGGTTTTCGCGTATCAAGTCCCCGCCCGAGCCCCTATCGCAGAGGCAGCGAAACCCTACCCCTCCCTCTTAGCGGGTGTGAACGAAACCTAACGAAGATATATAACTCGTACATGCGCAAGTGCCAGACTTCGCCACGGGAGTTGGACTTTCGCCAGCATCTTTACCTGTCACACATGCGCAAGCGCCAGACTCACAACCCCCACCTTTCCCTCCCCAGTTCGTCGACTGTCGCGAAAGTATAACGCGCACCTCGAGTCGCAGACCAGACCAGACTACTACTGTAAGAACAAAACCTACTATTTTCGCCACCGTCACATGCGCTGCTGGCGTTCTTCGTTGTCAGATCCGTTCTATCCCTCATCTCCCTTCCTCCTCACCTTTTCTCACATCTCTGCTGCCTCCTTAATGGCTTGCACCGCGAACATCGTCGCCCTCCCACCATGCCTCTCCGGGCAACGGGACGGGACCGTCATATTAGGTCGAGAACTTCGGCGAAATGCGATTAGACAGTCTCCCATGCGCCGCTAGACTCACACGCTTTTCATTCAAGAAAGGGTTGAAAATCTACATTCTTGCGGAACCAGACGGTAGAGGTAACTCGCCTATCGCAGAAGCCTGTCGCAAGAACATCACCGTTGTTCGAATGCTAACGCGTATCAGTCACGCGACGAGAGCGTAGTTCTCGCCACAGAGTCACTCGAGAAGATACGACAGCGATTGTGACGAGCCGTCGCATCGACTCGCGGCGGTAACCCTAGACTGACTTTTCCGCTATACCTCCTTATCCTCTCTTCCACGTGGCATCCACGTGTCTTGCGTGTCTGCCGCCTATGCTCACGGCAGCAGCAGACGGCTCCTCTCCAAGCCCTGATTGGGAGGCGGGCTTTGAAAATTACGCGACGAGGAACCAATCGCGATGGCGCGATTCGCCGTGGCACAGCACATCGAGGCCAAGGTGAGATAAACATAGGATCAAGTATTGTACTCTGACTGTTGGAATTAAGCTGACTCTTGGAATCATGCTGACTCACCGTGATGCAGCAGAACCACCTGTTCAGGCGCCGCCTCAAAACAAGCGTTGACTCCTCAGACTTGCAGAGTGGCGCGAGAGGCCGTGGCCAGTGAGAATGAGAGGCAGGTGAGCGGTGGGATGGGATGGGGTTGGGAGGAATGGGGTTGGGTGGAATGGGGTTGGGTGGGAGGGGTGGGGAGATAGGAGGGGAGGGGTGAGGTGGGGTGGGGTGGGGTGGGGTGCGGTGGGGTGGCTCTTCCTGTCCTTGGTGCCCTACTAAAATGCTCACATCGGGCAGTGCTGCTCACTTCTCTGCTCTCCCTCTCGTGCCTGCTTCCTTCCCCCGCACTCAGGACAGCGCTCTGATTTTGATTTCGGTGGTGGAGGCACAGTTGGTGGTGCCGGGATACAGAGAGTATGTTTTTTGAGAATTCTAAAAAAAGATACAGAGAGTATACTGTCACACTGCTGGCAGCAGATAACGCCACCCACCAGGCAGCCCATTATGCCGTGCATGCATTGGATTTGGGACAGATAACGCCACCGGCCCGGCGGTGTGTTTAACAGCACCAACAGAAACAGCAGCAGCGGCAACAGCAGCAGTGGCAGTGGTGGCGTGGTGGAGCGGGACTTGGCAGGGGCCGTGGCAGGGGTGTGTGTGGATGAAGGGTGGGTGCTTGTCCCTGCTGCTGCCCACACAGGCAGTTGCCTCTCTTGGCCCAGTGCTTGCTCTCATGTAGAGATGGGTGCCTTGTGTGACTGCAACACATGGCAAAGTCAATGCCTTGCTGAACGTGCACAAACAAGCTACTGGTATTACGGTAGAGCACCTGTACCAAGAGGTTACAGCACCTGTGGCAACAGCACTAGCAGCTACCGTACGAGCCTATAATTTCTGGGGAGCATGAGTTCGGGCACTTTAGACTGCGTGTTATGCCCACACGTGTCCTTGTTTGTTTCTCACCCACGAAGAATGTATGGGTGGGTGAACTCTGAGCAACACTAGATTGCACGTGTTATGCTGGAAGCGCCAATTGCACAAATGAGCTTGTTAGAGTGGGAAAATACGGTACATTGGGAAGCAATGCAACCAAAACACTTCACACCAATACCAAGCAAAGATACAAATCATGCATCCATTCATTAGACCAAATAAATTACTTGCAGCCCCCACTAAGTCCTCTCCTTCACTGTGCTCTGCTGGTAAAGCAGCAGCCCTGTGCTCTGGCAGCAGACAACAGCAGGCAGCAGAGCAGGCAGCAGGCAGCAGAGCAGGCAGCAGACAAGACCATCATGCCACCCATCCCCGCGATACAAGCACCACTAATGCCCACCACTGTCACCCCCACTGCAAGCACTCATAGCCATCCTATGGCCACCCCCTTGCCAAAACATTAGCGTGCACCACAGGGGGTCTCCCAGCGGACCAAACGATCAACAAAGCTGAAGAACGCCAAAGAAGGAAGCCATTTCTGAGGCGCCTCAAGAATCCTCCAAGGGGAACGGAAAATCTGTACTGAAGTACAAACGATCACCATTGGCCAACGTTTTCAAAGTGGGGAACTGCCTGCGCAGAGCAACCTCGGTTTCTTGATTGTTTGGACAGTCCAAGAAGGCGAATTTGGCGGAAGCCAATGGGAGCAAAGAAACGAGAAGCTGCGAGCGGCCAATGAGACCGAAGGTGTCGAGAGAGAGGGGACTGGGGCATGTGCAATCAACGTTAATACTCGCAGCAAAGGCAACAAAGGTCTTCAAAGAGGCAGGGAGGGTGAAGCGGAGGTGGAGGGTTCGTTCGTGAAAGCGGAGTGCGATACCTCGAGCAGCGGTGAGCTTGAACTCGAGGGTGGTGGAGCCAGAACCACGGCTGGAGGAGGCGAGAGCGAGTTCATGCAGCTGCGGTGCGATGGACGAGAGAAAGGACAGATCATTTTCGTCGCAATCGAAATCGTTGATGCTGAGACTCCTTAAAGCCCGGAACCTTGCTGGATTCAGGTTGCCTAGTTGCCAAGTCCCACGGCCTAGCTTTAACCGCTGCAGCTGCTCAAACTCCTCAAGAAAGGCCGGATTCATCAGCTGATTCTCCCTAACGATGGGCTCAACTCCGCCCAGAGGTTCCTTGAGCCTAATGCACAGGTTTGTGAGGGAGCGCGCAGAGGGTCCCAAGAGACGGCCGAGGCAGTGCAGGTCTTGGGGGCTGTTGAGGACGACATTAAGAGGCGTGTGAGGCGCGTGCCTGAGGAAGACAGAGAGCGTTCCCGAGGGACGTGTGAGCGCGGGGTCTTGGGTGTTGACTGGCAGCGTCATGGGCTCCAAGTCCTGCTCATGCACGATGTGACAGAGAGAAGGAGAGAGGAATGGACAGAGAGATGGACAGAGAAACGGACAGAGAGATGGACAGAGAAACGGACAGAGAGATGGACAGAGAAACGGACAGAGAGATGGACAGAGAAACGGACAGAGAGATGGATAGAGAAACGGACAGAGAGATGGACAGAGAAACGGACAGCGATAGACACGAAGATGGACAGGAAGATGGTTGAGGAACTTAGTCGTGACCGCATAGCTCAGCACCCAGAGAAATTGTAACAGAGGGGGTTGTGCGATGGAATGCCGTCGTGTCTCACGATGGCATTCTGAGCTTGGAAGCACGGAGATTAAAGCCAGGGTCTCAAGTAAGAGAATCTGGCGTCAACTGCAAAACACTCGACCCTCCGTTACTCTGTTTGTAGCTGGCGAGCTGACTGGTTGGCCTGGGAAGTAGTGTGCGACACACCCCAGTTTTTGCCCCACGAGCAATTGCAAAACATTCTGCTTTTTACTTGGGACTTTCTGGGCTGTCGGGAAGTTGCTGGCATTTCAGCTTCGGCCCACACCAACTTCCGAGCCTAATTGGTTCGGACGCACACCAACGATTTGTATCCGCTTCGCAACCTTCGCTTCACCCCTCCTCAAAACTTGGACCTCGCCAACCAATCTCAGTCAACCTCCTACCGCCAACTGCAAAACACTCGTTTTACTTGAGACCCTGGCTTTAAGCTAGCAGCGCTGATCGTGACTCCCGGAGAGAAGAAGGCGACAAGGAGGTAAAGGGACAGGTGGGCCGAATGAGGGAAGCAGTGCATTGCGACTCACGGAGAAGGAGGTGACATGATACCGGAGGACATTAAGTAGTTGGAATGAGGGAACTAGCGCATTGCATTATGACATGGTGTGCATGATGACTCACGGAGAAGAAGGCGACATGATACCGGAGGACATTAGGTAGTCGGAACGAGGGAGCTAGCGCAGCGTGCATGATGACTCACGGAGAAGGAGGCGACATGGTAGAGGAGCCTCTTGCAGACCATGGCGCAGCGCAGCAGAGGCCAGCAGGAGCCGAAGGTCCTCAATGCCTCCGCTTGTTGCTTCTCCGAGGAGTTACCCCAATTCTGCAGTTTATTTTTTAGTCGACTCAAAAGTCCACTCCCAGTGGCACCGGAGGTGCTGCCAGCTTCCTGCTGTGATGCGCCGGGATGGTTACTCCGATTCTGCAGTTTATTTTTCAGTCGATTCAAAAGTCGAACGAAACGCGAGGTCCTGCGTCCCTCGTGCGATGGACCCAGGAGCACGTGGCAGAAGATGATGTGCCAGATGGGGCCGGGCAGCAGATCAGCCACGTTCACGATCTGGATTGGGGAAAGATTGCGAAGATCAGAAAGAGAGAGAGAGCGAGGATACGGCTGATCCAATGTCTTCTGCTGAGAAGGACGTGGTGAGAATCGAAACAATCGGGTAGGAATGGTGTGATATTTCACTGTCTGCAGCATCATTCTCACCTCATGATGATTCTCGGCTGTAGCTACCTCATCTCCACGGCTAGCCATCAGCGCCAACGAACAGCTACGCAAGGGCCGGCGATTAGGCAAAAACTGCGTTCGAATACAGACGCGTTTCAATCAAGAAACAGCTCTGTTTGTTACGAATCCACCACGAGACTCAAGCAAGCCCAACTCGATTCTAGCAGCTTTCGGGCTAGCGGCGGTAGGCTATTGCGGTGAACTGAGTTGCGTTGTGGTGAATTCGTAACGAAATTTGTTGCTGATCCTACACGTTGCTCGGGTTACTTCCCTCCTGTCACGCAATCACTAAGCACTCCCCTCCTCCTCCGCACACCTCTGTGACCACGCTCTAACACTCGCTGCGCCGGCGAGGACAGCCACTTCAGGGACTGCCTGCAGCGTTTCGCTAATTGCCTGAGATTGTCAGCCAGTTGGAAAAGCACATCCATACCACCTTACACGTATCAGCCACTCGTTTCGATAACCAGTCGATTTGGTTCTCAAGCACTAGAGGGCGAAATCCGTAACAGTCGCAGAAGAGTCGCCTCGCTTTCGCAACGCGGTGGGGGTTGGCAATGGTACCGCTGTTGAGCCCTCGTAGTTGGGCAAGAAGATCGACGATTGTGGTGGCCACGCAAGACTTGATCGAGTGGCTCCGAGCTGTACTGACCCACGTCTGAAAAGGCCTTGGATTAGGAAAATCGCCTTCGTTGTTACAAAGCCTATCAAAAGGCTCTAACTCCCCAGAAGTTTGGGGATGACAACTAATCATGAAGCCCACTGACGCCCAAAGCTTGGGCCAAATGGTAACCAGCTCATCTTGTGCGGAGCTATGGCCCGCGAAATCCGAAATTCCTTCCACGGAATTTTCTTTCGTATGTCAAGGCAGTTACCGCGTATCAATCTCCGAATTCCTCCCAACCAAGTCCCCGACCGCGCTCCAAACCTGCTGGCAGCGAAACCCCAATCAGCGAATATGCGCGACAATTAGCGAAAACAAGTAACTCACACCTGGGCGAGTGCCAAACATCGCCACGAGGCCCCTTCATCACCTTTTCTTCTCAACTTCGTTGACAGTCGCAGACCAGACCACACCACACCAGACCGACCGCCCACGTGTTCATTGGATGTTCCACGCCCTCAAATGCGCTGCTGTCGTTCGTCCTCGTCAAATCCGTCCCCCCTTATCTCAGTCGCTTCCCACTCATCTTCTCACATCTCTGCTGACTCTGTAATGGCTTGCGCTGCGAACGCTGTCGCCCTCCTCCCACCATGCCTCTCAGGGGAACGGGGACGAGACCGTCATATTAGGCCAAGAACTTCGGCGAGACTCTTTCAGACAGTCTCCCATGCGCCGCTCGACTCACAAGCTTTTGATATTTCAGGAAAGGGTTGGAAAGATACATTCTTGCGAAACCAGACGATATTAGTGGTAACCATTCAAGACCATTCGAGACGCCAATCGCAGAATCCTATCATAGAACTTACGCCTAAACAAACGCGGTCCGGAACTGACGCTTATCAGTCACACGAACTGAGAGCTTGCTCGCTACAGAGATATGGCGATTATGACGAGCCGTCGCCGTGACATGCGGCAGCACCTGACTTTACCGCTATGCCTCCTTATCCTCTGCCACGTGGCATCCACGTGTCGTGCGTGTCTTCCGCCTATGTTCTCGGCAGCAGCAGACGTCTCCCCTCCAAACCCTAATTGGGAGGTCGACTTCGACTGGCTGAGTAACGAGAACCAAATCGCCATGGCGCGATTCGCTGTGGCTCAGCACAACGCCGCCAAGGTGAGCCTCGCCTCGCCTCGCCTCGCCTCGTCTCGCCTCGCCTTGATTCGCTCCAAGTGCAAGAGTACTCTCTTACGACAGGTGTAGTGCTCTTTCCTCGGGAGTTTCGGGTGTTGTACTCTTTCTCTTCAACTCATGCTGACTCGCCGCGCGGCGCAGCTGAACGAGGCCACGGCGAGGTGGGCGGCGACAGGCGAGAGGCGACGTGCGAAACTCCACGTTTCAAGAGCACTTTGCTGCTTTGCTTCTCGTCCCCACTGCCGCGTATTTTCTCTCCCGCATCCCCACTGTAGCACAGTCACTCCCTTCCCTTCATTCTTCAAAGCTTCCTCATTTTCTTCTCCCCGTCTCCCCATCTCCCCATCTCCCACTTCTCCATGCCAGAACGACAGCCTACAGCCAGTCGGAGTTCTCTATGTGGACCGCCCGAGCGCAGGCAACAGCAGTGCAGGAGGGGAGGAGTACCACGTGTCACTGGCGGCTCTCAACCTGCTGCGCGGCCGCACTGCCTTCTTCGACGCCCTCGTCTCCCTCCGCCCTCTCGTGGTCGCGCAATCCGCGCTCCCTGCTTCTGTGATTCCAGCAGCAGCCTCAGCCACACCGGTTGCCACAGCAGCAGCAGAAGCAGCAACAGCAGCAGGAAATGGAGGAGGGGAGGGATGGGAGTACACGTTGAAGTCGTTTGTGGTGCAGGCAGGGTCGGGGCATGCGAGCACGCGGGAGGAGCAGGAGGCGGCGCTCAGGCACGTGGTGGCGGTGACGCCCCCTCCGTGCGGCGATGAGTTGACCTACGTTGACCTGTCAGATGCTGACGTGCAGCGAGTGGCGCGAGAGGCGGTGGCGAGAGCGAATCAGAGACAGGTGAGTGGTGGGACGGGGTGGGGTGGGATGGGATGGGATGGAATTCGCCTTTCACAAGGGGTCAGTGTGCAGCGTGCATAGAGAGTGGTAGGGTCGGGGCATGCGAGCATGCGGGAGGAGCAGGAGGCGGCACTCCGGCACGTGGTGCCCGTGACCCCCCCTCCGTGCGGCGATGCGTTGACTTCCGTTGACTCCTCAGATGTGGACGTGCAGCGCGTGGCACGAGAGGCGGTGGCGAGTGAGAATCAAAGACAGGTGAGTGGTGGGATGGGGTGGGGTGGGGTGGGATGAATTCCGTCCTTCACAGGAGCCGGTTTTCACACCACTCTTTTAAGTCAAGGCGCATGCTCGGAATCTGTACTCGCTGAGAGGCGGTGGCGATTGAGAATGAGAGACAGGTGAGTGGTGGGAGGGGATGATATGCGTCCTTCACAGGAGCCAGTTTGCACTTCATTCTCTTCACTCAGACCCATGCTCAGACCCACCATGCTCAGACCCACCATGCTCAGACCCATGGTCAGACCCAGTAACACTGCCGTCTTCCTTCCTTGCCCTCTCTCCACCCCTTTCCCCCCCGCAGGGCAGCGGATTGCTTTTGATTTCGGTGCTGGAGGCACAGGTGATGATACTGACATACAGACAGAGAGAGTACACGCTCACAGTGCTGGCAGCAGATAACACCACCGGCATGGCAGCTCACTATGCCACACATGCACTGGATAACAGCATCGGTGCCACGCTTGATGATACTTCACAAGGGGGGAACGCGAGTGGGAGGAGTGTAGTGAATGTGACGGCGTTTGCGGTGGTGCCAGGGACGCAGCGGAATGCAACAGCGGGGGAGATGGCCGTGGCAGCAGCAGGGGGTTGCGCTGGGAGGCATAAGAGCAGCAGCAGCAGCGGCGGCAGCGACGCTGGTGGTGGTGGGAATGCAGCAGCGGCAGCACTCAACGGCAATAGCAGCAGCCGCAGCAGCAGCAGCAACAGCAGCAGCGGCAGCAGCAGTGGCGGTGGTGGGGTGTTGCAGTGGGACTTGGCACGGGCCATGGCAGGGGTGTGTGTGGATGGGGGGTGGGTGCTCATCCCTGCTGCTGCCCCCACAGACAATTCAGAGCCTCCTACTGCCCCTAACAACGCCTCCTCTAATGGCTCCGCCACCGCCCCCTACACGGACGCCTACAACAGCTTCTCCATGCGCTCCCTCGCTCTCTTTGCCCTGGACCAACTCAACAACCACAGCAGCCTCCCCTCCAATGTGACTCTGCTGGATGTGCTTGTAGCGAGGGCGAATGTGGTGGAGGGGGCAGGGATCAACTACAGCGTGACTGTAACAGCCGCGGTGGATGCAGCGTCAGCAGCTGGAGCAACGGTACCTACAACAACAACGGTACCTACAACTACAATATTTACAGCAACGGCACCCACAACAACACTACCTGCAGTGCCGCTGAGTGCACCTTCAACCAAAGCCAAGGCAGCAGCAGAGGACGAGGCAGGGAAGCAAGTGGTGGTGCTGAAGCTGCTGGTGTGGCAGGCAGTGCCCTTCACAGCTTTCCGCCTGGCTGACTTTTTCCTGCTGGATGTGGGAGGTGAGGGGGAGAGTGGGAAGCAGAAGCAGGAGGGCTTGTTGCTCATTGACTGTGCCTCCCCACCCCCGGGTCACATCCTCCTTGGTAACTGCACCACAGTGCCTAAGGCTAGCTATTCTTCTGTAGTTGCCGCGGTAGGATTTGTAACATTGCTTCGCGTGCTTGTCTCGCTGGCCCTTGTGCTGGCTCTCCTGTAGAGACTGTACCGTAGTTAGTGCCTTGCCTGCCATGTTGCGTTGCCTTGTAGTGTAGTGTGGTTCCGTGTGCTTGTCTCGCTGGCCCTTGTGCTGGCTCTTCTGTAGATATGGCTGCCTTGCGTCGCTGTTTGAGGTTTACATGTATGTGTCCCGATGGTGTGTAGTACAGGTGACACCCATCCGGACTCAAGTGGGTCATCTCTGTGCTGGCACGACGTACAGTACAGTACACACGGCCCCATATAGACTGAAACATAGGTATGTTACGTGCTTGTTTCTTATCTACATGTACAGTAGTAGTAGCACTAGGAGAGAAAACAATGGTGGTAAGTACAGCAAGCAAAACACAAAACGTCACTCTAATGCATAACGCATTACACAACGCAAACTACCAGACAAAACATCAATGCAACGCATCCACCAGACAAAACATTGTTAAATAACTTAAGCCTTCAGCACCTACTCTGCCTGACTGTGTTCAGGTGACAGCAGGGCAGTGGAGCAACAGAGAAGCAGGCAGCAGAGCAGAACAGCAGAATAGCAATGCAGCAGTACTGTGTATGCCCACCCACCATTACTAACCCCACTGCTAGCTAACATCGCCACCCCATCGCCATGGGTTTAGCATGCACCACACAGCTGCACACCACCCCTACTGTCACACCATTACCACCCCTGCTATTGGCACACATCACCCCTCCTGTTCCCCTGCATACGCCTCCCTCACACGTCCCCCCGTGTTTCGCACTCGCTACCCCACCCACCCTGCTCCCTTTCTCCCCTCAAAGCATGGAGTGCCTCAAAGGGTTGGAAACACTGAGAGAGAAACACTTGAGGTTTGATCCGATCATCCTGTCTGCACCATGCCCTGACCCATGGCATGGGGAAGAGCGTGATCTGACCACATGCTATTGCCATGACACGATCCAATGTAATTACACCGCTCCTCTTGCTCTCGCTACCAGCGGGCAGACTGATTAATAACGCTATACGATGCCAGGGAAGGGAACTGCCTTCGCAGAGACACCAGAGTGCTGGGATGCCACTTGTAAGTGGCAACGAAAATAGTTTCCAGGTCCGGAGCATTGATGAACGTGCTGCTGCTGCCACCACTGTCACCGTCTGCCGCCGCCGCTGCTGCTGCTGCTGCCGCTGCTGCCGCCGCTGCTCCCTCCTTCCCCACCGAAGCACTTCAAGAAATAGAGATCGTCCGCGCTGTACATGTGAGCATTGTATCCAAACCCCTCAGTGCTGAATCGGTTCACACCAATGGCAAGGCGGCGCAGGCAGCTCCACTCCACATGCACGCCCTCCAGAGGCCAGTCATGCCTCACTATAAGCTTCTCCACTGTCGGCGCTATGCTGCTGAGAAGCTGGGTAAAGGCCAGCTGAGAGTCGAGGTTTTCAGGGGTTCGAAAGCTCAAGTAGACTGATTTGGCGGAAGCCAATGGGAGCGATGAAAAGATGAGATGCGAGCGTCCAATCAGAGAGAAGGAGGCGAGCGAGAGAGGGCTGTCAGATCTGCAGTCGACGTTTAGGCAATGCCCTGAGGCAGAGAAGGATTTCAAAGACGCAGGGAGGGCGAAGCGAAGGGTGACTGCTTGCTTCTCGAAGCAGATTGCGATAGATCGAGCAGCGGTGAACTCGAAATTGAGGGTGGAAGAGCCGATGCCGGAGCAGGAGAGAGCGAATTCATGCAGCTGCGGTGCGACGGATGAGAGAAAGGACAGGTCCCTTCTGTTGGACTCCAAAAGGTGGACTTTCAGAATCCTTAAAGCCTGGAACCTTGCTGGATCCAGGTTGCCTAGCTGCCAACTCCCAAGTCGCAGCTCCAGCTGCTGCAGCTGCTGAAACTCCCCGAGAAAGGCTGGATCCAGCGGTTGACCAGGGGATTCCCTCACATCAAGGCACAGGCTCGTGAGGGAGCGCGTAGAGTAGTGCATGAGACGGCGGAGGCAGAGCAGGTCTTGGGAGGTGTTGAGAAGGAGATCAAGGGACGTGTGGGCGGTGTGTCGGAGGAAGAAGGAGAGCGCTGCTGCCAGCCGATGCTCCTGAGAGTCCACTACGAGCGGGAACGGCTCGCGCTCCTAAACAAACAGAGAGAGAAATGGTATATTCAAACTGGAGATTCGTTGGAGCTTAGCTGTGAGAATGGAGGGGAGCTCAGCACCCGGAGCAGAATTCGCCATGCGGTGAAGGACGTGTTGTAGCAGAGAAGGTTGTGTGATGGAATGCAGAAGCAGGCATGGCGACTCTCATGGAGAAGGAAATGACACGGTGGTAGATAAGCAGGTGGGTGGATTTTTGAGACGTCTCAAAATATCACTCGTAACACGTGACTCTTATGGAGACGTGTTTAAACAAGTGTTTTGAGAGACGTCTCAAACCACTTCTTCAAACACGTGACTCTCATGGAGAAGGAGATGCGATGACACGGTGATAAAGAAGCAGGTGGGTGAAATGAGGGGAGAAGCGCATGATGATGACTCACGTGGAAGGAGATGACATGAGCGAAGAGCCTCTTGCTGGCCATGGCACAGCACAGCACAGGCCAGGAGGAGCCGAAGGGGCCTGCATTCTCCTCATACGAGTCGCTGCCTGCTCCCCATTCCCATGCGCCCCAGGAGTCACCCTGCTTCTTCAGCAGGTGGCGGAAGATGATGTGCCAGATGGGTTCAGGCAGCAGATCAACCACATCATTCCTCTGGCAGGTGAGGTGAGGAAATGTTTGGTAAGATGAGAAAGAGAGAGGGAGAGCGAGGATCAGCCCAATGCCGGAAGATGATGTGTCTGATGGGGACGTCCAGCATATCAACCACATCATTCCTCTGGCAGTGGGAAAATAAACAAACGGAAGATAAGAGAGGACGAGGGCGAGAGGAAACTTCTGTCCCATCCTGAGGAGAACGTGATGAAAACCTAACGGATTCGGTGGGAAAGAAGGTGTGATGTATCACCGTCTGAGACACCACTCTCTCTCACCTGATGCCTCCTCCTGGCATCAGAGGGTGCTGTAAGATTGAGAGAAATATTTATCTCCGTCGATTCATCTCCATGGCTAGCCATCAGCGGCATGAGTCAACTGAGCGATCGACATAGGCAAAAACTCCCGCGTTCGAATCCAGAAATGTTTCGCAAAGCAACAACTGCAAACAAGTCACAGCTCTGCAACACCATGAGAGGCTTTCCTCTGGATCTCGGGAAACTCTTATGTAGTGAATTAAGAGGGTTACGCTGGTTACACGGTTCAACCGAGACGGCTCATTTTCCAGACGAGACACCACTCGAGCGATATCACGACGTTTGCGCGAAAGTTTCTTAACATTTGACGCATGTTGCGATCGCCGAGCCGCAATCTGTCGGGGATTCCCAAACGGGGAGGGCATAGGGATTGCTCTGGTCCGACGGTCCGACGGACCTTGTCGGGCCAAGGGACAAGCAGACTGGGATGTTCGAGGTGGGTCGTTCGAAAGCCTCTGGCTGTCTGCAAAATCTGCCTGGTATTGCTTGCCATGAACCTCGACCATTCACAAAACACTTGCTTTCCAGATAGTACCTGGGATCACGATTCGGGGAAGTCCCAGATGGCTCGTTTACAGCTGCACCTTCCTGCCAGACTCGGGGGGTTCGGCATTCGATCTGCGGCTGACCTTAGTCCTCTGTCGTATGCATGTGGCTGGTGCCAAGCAGTGAGCGATGTGGCTCGGTTGGGGGTGGCAGGTGAGGAGCGGATGTTTGAGGAGTTTTTCCGCACGCCCGAGGCTACGACCTTGTTGGACCCCTGGTTTGCGAGAGCAGTGGATCTGCTTCCACAGTCGGTTCGGCAGGAGATGCCACCCCTTGCCTTGTGCACCGCTGATCCGCCTATGCTGCTCTTCCCCACACAACACCGTCGCCTGGCGGTTGAGAGCCTCCAATCTCTTCGAGGCATGGCCCACAACGATGCCACCCTGGCCCGTTTGACATCCCTTCAGGGCCCGGGGGCTGGGGCGTGGGTTTCTGCCGTTCCTTCGCACGAGGAGGCTACCTTCACCGCAGCCGAGTGGAGCATCTGCGCGTCCATGCGCCTAGGCCTCCCTATTCAGCAGCTGATAGTGGCCGGCAAGTGCGCGTGTGGGTTTGAGTTTGCTGATCCCTCTGACCCGCATCATGCCCTTCGCTGCAAGTATCAGTATGCACCTTCTCGGGTTCACGATGCGGTTAAATTTGTGGTGGCGAAGATAGCTAAGGGTGCGGGTGGGATTGTGACCATGGAAGACGACACGTTGCTCCCAGGGAAGAGGGTTGATGTGGCGGTTCGGAAACTGAGGGAGGGGGAGGAGCACGCGCTGGAGGTTAGTGTGGTAGATCCTATCTCGCTATCCGCGCAGCACCATGGACAGATTGGTCGCAAGGTGGGTTTTGCCGCGAGAGAGAGAGAAAAGCGGAAGACGGCGGACTACAAATCGCTTCTACAGCGGCATGGGGGAGTGCAGTTCACACCACTCATTGCTGAGACATGGGGATGCTTGGGGGGGAGTTTTGGACGGTGGCTTAAGAAGCAGGGTGACGCGCAGATCGAGATAGCAAAGACGAAAGGGGCGGCGCGAGCTACGGGAAAGGGTTTCTCGGCTTATTTGCTCGGATCGCTCAAAGCGGCTGTGGGTGTGGCTTTGCAACGGGCTCAGGCGCGTGTGATCTTGTTACGCGCTGCGTCGATGATGAGAGGCCCAGAGGCTGTTTGGGTGGAGCGGGAGGATGTTGAGGAGGAGATGGGATGGGATGCTCCGTGGGCGGATGCACCATACTTGGTAGACATGCGGGTTTAGGGAGTGGGTTTAGGGGGGGAGGTTTGGTTCGATGGGAGTGCAGTTGGGGTGCTTTGATGGGAGGGCTTGATGGTGTTTTAAATGTGTGTGCTATTGGGGTTTTCTTGGGGTTGTGTGTGCTGCTTTTTCTTCCTTCTTCCCTGTTTTTCTTCCTCCTATCATTTTTCCCCTATTCCCCTCCTTCTTTCTTCCTCTCTCCTTTTTTCTACTCACGTTATTCCTCCTTTTCTCCTCTCTTCCCGTTTCCACTCCTTTTCCTTGCGTAATTATGCTACATTGTAATAGATAGTACCTCGATTGCTATTAAAAAAAAAAAAAAAAAAAGAAACACTTGCAATCGAAGCCTATCTGCCACGGTAGCCATAACTACACTTCATGAAGTTGTACAGATAGACTTCACATTATTCTGCTGCTGCAAGCTGGCCCATAGTGTACTGTTTTTTAACAGAGTGATAGCAAACTGGGTGTCAAAATGCACAAACACAGCCATTCAGATGAACTCCCTCAAAACATGAAATAGTTCAGAGAGATTGAAGAAATCTCACGACCTGATCATCCTGTGCCACGTCCTGGCTCATTTTGTCTGCAGCATCGCCTCTCCTCACTTGCATTACCGGCTCATTCTTCCGCCTCTCCCCTTCCCCCTCCCACCGAAACGAGCGACCAACAATGCAGTAGCATGTGAGAGACGGGAAGTGCCGGTGCATAGAAACCAGGGTTTCGCGGTGCCACTCTTGAGTCGCAAAGAAAATAGAGTGCAGACTCGGAGCATTGATGAAGGGAGAGCTGCTTGCTTCATCCTCGCTACCGCCACCACTCTCTTCTCCTTGAACAAAGCCCCTCCTTAAAAGAGAAAGGAACTCAGCATCATCCAATGCAGTCGTGTGCCTCCCACTGCCACTTCTCCTGCTGCCGTTCACACCAATGGAGAGACGGCGCAGGCGGCTCCATTCAGCCGACACATTCTCAACCGGCAAGCCATGCCTCACCGTCAGAGACTCCACTGTTGGCGCTATGCTGCTCAGTAGCTGCGTCAAGGAAGCTCTAGTAGAAGCCAAGCAACGTTGAGAGATGGAGGTGAAATCCATAACATCTTCCCAAGGTGAGCTGGACGGCTTGAGGATTGTTGGTCCGTTCAGATAGACGGTTTTGGCGGAAGCCAGTGGGAGTGAAGAGACGAGAAGCTGTGTGCGGCCAACGAGAGTGAGCGAGTCGAGAGCGAGAGGGGTGGAGCAAGTGCAGTTGACCTCCAGTTCTGCTGCTATGGCAGAAAATGCCTTCAAGGAGGGAGGGAGGGAGAAGCAGATGTTGAGTCTCCGCTGCTCGAAGCTGACTGTGATGATTCGCGCAGCGGAGAACTCAAAACTGAGGTGGCATGGTTGACGGCTCTGGGAGGAAAGAGAGAACTCATGCAGCTGCGGTGTGATTGTCAGAATGTTATATTTGTCTAGCCTGCAGTGGGGTACTCTATAGCGAGTACAGCCCAATCTAGGGTTCCTATTTGTACTCAACTGCCTGCTAGTCGAACTCTCTCTTTTTGCCTAATTTTCTCGACATGCTATCAGAGCAGGTCGACCCTCCTGGGTCGATCCTGTGGGTGGGCCCACCACCTAATGCTTCCGCTGCTTTACTTCCTGCCGGGCGCCTCGGGCGCGCGACGACTTCTTCCTGCCGTGCGCTCGGGGCGGTTTTTCTAGGGTTTCGGCGGTTTTTCATCCCGCCGTGCGCTCGGGGCGCGCGGCGGTTTTCTGCACGCCGTGCGCCCCGAGGCGCGCGGCGGTTTCCCACCGTCGAAGCGCCCCCCCCCCCCCCCCCCCCCCCCCCCCCCCCCCCCCCCCGCCCTCCCCCCGTCGCCGTCGACCCCCCGCGTCGCCCCGCAGCCCCGCGCGTCGCCCCCGACGTCTCGTCGCGACACCTTGGGGAGCCGCGCGCGGCCCCCCGCTACCTCGTCGCGACGCCGTGGGGAGCTGCGCGCGGCCCCCGCTGCCTCGTCGCGACGCCTTAGGGAGCCGCGCGCGGCCCCCCGCTGCCCCGTCGAGGCGCCCTGGGGAGCCGCGCGCGGCCCCCGCTGCCCAGAGGTGGCGCCCTGGGGGTCGCGCGCCTTCCCCCTCGCCGTCCCCCGCGCTCCTTCTCCCTTTCGCCCGTTTTAGGGTTTGGGGGTGGGGAGTGTGGGGGTGGCGGCTGTGGGGGTGTCGGTTGTGCGTTACTCTACCTACTCCTCCTCCTCCCTAGTCTCCCTCTACTGCAGCTGCCGCTGAGGGGGGTGGTGTGTGGGAGTCTAGGGTTTGGGGTTTAAGGGGGGGTACCGTGGGAGTGGAGCTAGGGGTGAAGCAAGGGGTGTGTGTCGAGGGGTGTGGGACTGTTGGGGGAGGTTGAGCGGAGACTGCCGTCGTGTCGTCCGCAGCACCTGTATTCCGGGGTTCCGCGGACCTCCGGTAGCTCAGAGAGCCGGCTGCACCTGTCGCCCGTGGGTCCGCTGCACCCTCCGCAGCGACTATTACCCCTGTAGTCCGGGGCTCTGCTTCCGGTAGCCACTAGCGTTGCGCCAGAGCCGTCTGATGCCCGTGTGTCTGCAGCTTCAGTCGTCGCCTCCACTCCTTTCTCCTCTCGCCAGCCCTCCTCCTCCTCATTTGTCCTCTGTGACCGCCTCTAGCTTTGCTCATAACTTATAAACTGTTGCTTCTTGAACTTGTGCTCAGAATGTGTGGTGACATCGTGATCCACCCTGAGCTTGTACTGCTTTGCTTGCTCTGCTGATTACACCCCACTTTGGCTATGGGGGTGTGTCAGAATGTTATATTTGTCTAGCCTGCAGTGGGGTACTCTATAGCGAGTACAGCCCAATCTAGGGTTCCTATTTGTACTCAACTGCCTGCTAGTCGAACTCTCTCTTTTTGCCTAATTTTCTCGACAGTGATTGCTGTCAGGAGTGTCATATCGAATTCGTTGCAGTCCGCATGGTCAATGCTCAGACTTTTTAGATCCTTGAACCATGCAGCCTTCAGGTTGCCTAATTTCCATCTCCCACTGCCAAGTGTCAGTCGCTGCAACTGCCTGAAATTTACAAGAAACCCTGGGTTGATCATCTGGTGTTGAATATGAACGTATCCGGAAGATGTGGAGCTTAACCTAAGGCAAATACACGTAAGCGAATGTGCAGAAGGTGCCAGAAGGCGGTTGAGAATCTTCAGATC